TTGATAGGGTCAAAACCTGTGTTATCAGTAATACATTAACACTTATGTGGAAGAACAACATCAACATATCAGTAATACATTAAAATACGTAATTTAATGCATTCCACTTATGTGACACACATCTTTATATAAATTGAGGATCAAGCATTAACAATAACGAAGGAGAAGAGCAAAGAAAGATTAGACCCAAGCAAAGAAATTAAGAAATGGTTCTCACAGATGCTGAGATTCTAGAGCTTGGTGCTGAAATCGATCTTGGTAAATGAAGAGGAAGAGAAGGTAAGTGTACATTTTAATACTCGTATAACAACTTTATGTATTTTTCGTTTTTATTTTTGTGTACAAAATGTAATTAGCCTTTTTTTGTTTTTAAAATTTTAGGATTTGCAAATAAGACTACTCAATGGTCTGCTCAAAGCGTACGATCCTAATACGGACGAAAAGGGTGAGACTTGGGACGAGCTTTAAGGCTGAAATCGACCGTGTTAAAGAAGCATCCAAAGCAACTGAAGAATATAGAAAGGAAAAATGTTCATTTTAATAAACTTTATATATATTTCTGTTTTTTGGTGTGTGTTACTTATTATTATTTTTGTAAAAAATAGGGTTTGACAATAAGACTACGCAACGCTCTTGAGAAACATGCTTCCTCATCTCAATCAGTGGTGGATAACAAAGAAAAAAAAGAATTAGTAATATTTACGTATATCGTCTTTTATTTCATCTGTCAAAGTTTTTATGGAATAATTAATTTCAGTCTTGTTGTAATAATGAAAGTTTTTTCATAAACAACTCATTAGTTTTGCTTAATAATTTTGTGTCTCTCTCTTCGATTAGTAGAAAATTTGAACGACTATTAGAAAAATAAAATAAAAAGCTGAAAATTGGAGTTAGTCCAAAGTCGAATGTAATGCAACTGGGCCTGGGCCAAGATATCCGAAAATGTGACCCGGGCTATATCGGGTCAACCCGAAAACCGGACTCATTCTTTCTTCTCTCTCCCCTCCCAAAGCATCGCTAAAATCCTCTGGTTTCTCTTCTCCAACCAGTCCATTTTCACGAGCTTGCGTACCTCAAGAGCTCTTCTTCTTCCATGGCGTCTTGCTTACAAGCATCCATGAA